GACTTCCGCGGCCGAGAAAGAAGGGAGGACTCTGTGTTATGTTTGAGGACATATCACAGGCAGGAAGGCACAATGCCACTTACATCTGAGAAACCGAAGCCCCCAAAGCCGGTGAAGACTGTGCCAGAAGAACAGGGCACGGCTCTGGAGGGGCCATGTCTGGGCTCGTTGCACGGAGCCAGGGGAGCTGAAAGCCGAGGGCACAGTGATCCCCCCGAGCCTGGGCCGAGTGCGGGTGCACAAGGAGTGAGCTGACGGCAGGAGCACGGTGCCACTGGCCCGAGGACCCACTGAGGGTCAGGAACACGCTGCCCGCTGCCTCCTCCGGGACGTGCTGTCTGGCTGTGCCTTGCTTTCCCAAACCAACATGGGTCCCACAGGCGCCTCGGGACCTGGCCATGGCTTGTTTCTGGGGCCTAACAGGGCAATGGGGCTGCTGGGAGAGCCAGGTGTCCGAGGAGCACGCCCTCGGGGCTCAGCCCATCTCCCCAGGCCAGCAGGTGGACCAGAACGAGAGTCTCCAGGCGGCTCCTCCCACACCCAGAGCCAACACCAAGGCCCCGCCGTGAACCTGCATCTCAGGCCCCGCCATCCTGGAGGAACTGCTCACAGCCTTTCCTGCCGGCAGCACAGGGAGCTGCACCCAACTGTGGGTCCTGACCCGCCCCGGGGCATCCAACCAGAGCCCTGCTCTCCTCCTCAGAGCCCGAAGCCCGAGCAGCACGCAGGAGGGGCTCAGAGCTCACGCGTGACCACTAGCTCAGAACTGAGAACCAAAGGCGAGAGCCAGCGAACCCCAGGCTGGCTCGGGAGTGTGCAGTGGGCTGGTGCTGGGGTGGCAAGAACCAGGCTCCTCTGCAGAAGCCAGGAGCCTACAGAAGGGAGTGTTCTGTCTGGGGGAGCCCGCCCAGTGCTGCAGGCAGACAGGGACCGACTAGGGCCTGGAACAGCCACGCCCGCTGCGCTCCCCCAGGCAGAACGGCTGCAGGGGAGAACGCGTGGTCTGTCTGATTAAATCCAGAAGACACACACGCCCGCGGCCCCTGGCATGGCCCAGAGGAGGGGCTCCAGCCTTGCAGCGCTGAGGCCCTGGCAGCCCCGGGCACTGCCCGCAGCACTCGCATCACTGCTGCTGCGGCTCCACCTGCAGCTGGAGCCCGAGCACCCCGCCTTCCCCACC